CAGAAGTTTCCTGTTATCCTTACCATTGCCTTTCCCTTTCAAAGCTTCACAGCCCTTTAGTTTAAAACCCATACCAGCTTTCTCTCTTCTTTTTCAGCGATTATGTGTTGAGAGGTCTGGGTGTCAGAGCTTGTCAAGCTTGATTTATGGCAATGTTATGTGTCACCTAAATAAATTCATCTCACAAAGGAACACAAGATTATTATGGAAATATGTTCTAGGGAAAAATCTATTAAGCATTAGTAATATGGCAAGCCAAATTTATATTTTTTGTCAGTATTTTTCTGGTCAGATCTTGTAAGTCGTGGTTTTTTTCTTAGGTTTGCCATACTCTGTTATTTTTGCCATTTGGAGTCTGCCAAATTAGTTCAGTTTGTTTACATGTTGCCGGGTGTTTTTCTAGTTTATTTCCTTGCATTTGTTTTTTATTATTATTTTAGTTAATTTTGTGTATTTTAAATGTTTTGGGATAGGAGCTCTTATTCTAAATTCAGACCGAATGCGACAGATGCAGCAGAATCAGCTAGTTTACATGCAAAGTCAATGGTTGACGTGCATCAAAGCGAGGCAAAAGGTCCTGCAGTGCGACTCAAGAAGCTGGAACAGTGCGTCTTGACGCGTCGAAGCATCTGAAATAAAAAAATTGAACTTTTGCAACACATCAACCAATGCTATGATCACTCCTCTGAAACAGTTTATTAACGCCTAAATCTACTTAAAATGTGGAAACCTGCTGGAAAAATATGTTCACTTTTATTATTCTGGTTTGGATTACGTACGTGAAAAATGCCTCCGAGCCACAGCGAACATTAGTGAAAAACCCCGATAAGGTGACTGGGCCAGAGGCTGCCGTTGAGGAGGCTTTCCAGTGACAGAGCACTGCCGGTGTACGGGGGTCTGAGCGGCTCTGACAGAGAAGTAATATTTATTAAATACTGCCTTGATATTTAAGGCAGGATGGTAATCTTGATGAACTGACTGCACAGAACATGTTTTCAGGTAGACTTTCTCACTTAGAACATAATAAAACTACCTTTTACACACCTATAGCAGCAAAATATATCAAAGACGCTGTCTGCCTTTGGACGGAGGAGCATCAGAAGCATCTGGATGCACTTTATTGGATGCACTTTACTGGACGCGCTTCAGGAGCGTCAAAGATGCACTTGAGGCGCATCAGACCTTAACTTGTGCACAAGTGTCAAAAGTGAAGAAGCAGGACTTTTCTGCTAGTTCCAGCACTAGCGGTCTGAACGTAGCATTAGGATCTTTAGTATGTATTTCTCTGTCCTTTCTTTATCATTTTGCCCTCACGCAATGTAATCTAATAGTTAGTGCATTTTACAGAACTCTGGCTTAATCCGAATATCTGAAATCAGAAAGGACACTTAAGCGACATAAGAAGTCAGTCTGCAGTTTCCATATTAAGGGCTCCAAGTAGTGCTTTACGTAAGAAAGGAGGTAGGAGGAGTATGCTTCCTTACGCTAATGCAGTTAGCATTGGGCCCTCCTGTTGCTTCTACTCTACAACAGGAGCAACATTGCCACTCTCCGTCCTTGTCAATAACAACTCCAAATTTCTATTCCCCTCCATTCTGCTTGTTTCTGGCCAGATCTCTTAGGTATACTCTCTTTGGGCTTCAAGGAACTTGCAGTGCAGCTCTGCAGTGTTTAGGGCTGGTTATCCTCCTGCAGCAGTGTGTTGCAGTGAGCTCTTTGCAGGTATAATGCAGATATTTTTGATATATGCCCATTTTTGAAGCGTGGTCTGCGCTATGTTATTCCACGCCACAACGCAAAAAGGTCGAAATAGCTTTGGGTCTAGAAACGGCCGAGGCGGTGAGGAAGTGGGGGCAAGTTTGTGAGACAATGGAGGGACATGAGGGCCAAAAAGAGCGGCGATCCAGGTGAAAAAAGGGTCCCAACGTTCTCGCACACCTCCCTCTTCTAGCTGGTCCATCTTCATGAGTCGTTTTCCACAATGGCGGTCATACAAACGCAACAAGCCGGTAACGTACCAAACAGGAAATACACATAGGTTAGAGTGGATGTAGATTTTGGAAAGGTGCACCAGGGTGTCTGTGGAGGGGGTGGGGACTCATTTGCATTTACTGCGACAGACACTCACACAACATGGTTTCTGAGCATAAATCAGCCTCTAAGAAGGATGTAGTAGATGTTGGTTTTCACGGACTGATGGAGGCGGCCTTGGATGGAACTGACATCTGGATAAAAGCTGTCTGGATTTAGACGCAGCATTCAAGCACCTTTCCTATCCTGTATAGTGTTGGTATTGTTAACCCCGCAAAAGGTTAAACATTAAGTCAGTTGCCTGTATCCTCGTTCATCTACCTAATTATTTCCATTAAATTCTAAAAGCTTACCTTACACCTTCTGAGCATTTGTCTGTGCCTTGGCCCAGGACCACAGAACATCCCTGTTTTATCTTTAAGTATTTTTTTGTGGAACCGAATGACTTCTAGAATTAACTGTGGTCCGGTCCTCTGGCGACACTTCCCGAGTCAGCAGTTTTTAAAACCAACCGGGATGTTTACTTCCTCAACGATCAGACTTTGAAATGAGGGTCCCCAATTATCCAATTGGACATCCCGTTCCACTTGGTGGAAACTGCAGCTGGGGTCCATCTTTGCTGGTGAAGTGGCTGCATTCCACTCTTCGAAGAAGCCTTGAGGTAAAAGCACAGCGTTGGCTGTTCCTGATAGTGCAGGTTGTTTTTAAATGGATGAGAAGAGTGCAATCCCATCAACTGAAATAGCACCAGATTCGTCTTGGTTAAGCATTTTTTACTCAGAATTTGAATCTCCAAGAATTTTTTGATGCGATACAAATCTCAATACATTTTATCCCAACAATATAGGATTATCATTCTACCAAAAAGGCACATGCGCATAAGTACTCCTTTGAGCAGCTTTACACTTTCTATATAAATAAACTAAATTGAACTGAACTTGACACATTACCAAGGTAACCAGTGTAACTGTGTACCCATTTTCAGATTACGTTGGAGCAGAAACTACGGGGCTGTTTGTTCCGGAACGTTTTTTGTAGATGTCCTGTAACCCTTTTTAACGGAGACCCTACATTCATCAAAATCCAGTATTTATCCAGACCATGTTATATCGAATGATGACTCTGCTTACCAACTTCCAACTCTTGAAGAGCCTGAGGTTGCTTTGCCTCAAGAGGCTGCACTCTTGGTGTTATAAGCTCATTTGTTTGTTTGTGCACCCTTTATATTCACGTCGATGAAACAGCAGTGCCTGCTGTTCTTTGTTATTTTTCTCCTTGTGCTAACTTTGATCTTTCTCATGTTTCTTGATTCTAGACTTAAAACAAACTATTTCATTGATTAAAACAACTAAACCTATAGTATAATAATCCTCTATACTTTCCCTTTAAATATGCATACTTCTGTGTTTTATTCTGTTGTATTTCTCTGCCCTGCTGTTGTAGAAACAGACTCCCAGGATGATATGTTGTATTTATTCTTTTTTCCCCCTATATTCTTATCATACTCTCTCTATTCTAAGTTCTGCCTCACATCTCTCCCTTTCTTTTTATCCCTTCTGTCTTTTGCTTCTGTTGCTTCAGTTTCTCTGTTCATTGCATTTAAGATAATCTAAAACAAAGGGATACTATAGTAAGTTTTATTATGTATAACAAAATTTACTGAGTGGCAATAAGTCTGTGAATAAAATCTAATAATTACTATAATATTGGTCAGATCTGGTAATGCTCAAAATCTCTTGCAACTTGAATATGTATTTAAGTTTGAGAACTGGCTCAGTACTGATACCAATTAAAGATCTCACATAAAATACTCTTTATCCGTGCAGAATTACTTTTTTTCTTTGCTTGTATTTTTTAAAGATTACTAGGTGTTAGAAAATTGCTAATTTAATTCTTGGGTTACACCTATCACAGTATTTGATAAAAGCTTTTGTTGCAGCAGTCCTTAATAATTAGCTTTTTACCAAACCCTTGTTTGGCTTTGGCCAAGCAGTAACAGTAACAATAACTCAGTCCAGACTCTAGACCAGTACTTTGCTAAAACACAGGAGCTTTGCAGCAGAGACAGGTCCTTCACAGCCAAAAGTAATTATTTAACTTTGCTATATGGCAACATATGTCACCAAATGGCACATTTATAGGGATGCTGTAAATATTTGGCTGTTGAATCAAACGAGTTGTGCATAATTTATAAATCTTTAAAAAATTTATCTAAAACAGATTCTTAATGTAATTTGCAAAAAATTAAAGAAATAGAAGCAGATTCTTTTTCTGTTGCAGACTTGTTGTTTGGTCGACGTCAGGTTCAGTATGTTTGCAGTTTTTTGGGTCTGACAGGAGGCTAGATTGATTTTTGTTTAGTTTTGTACATTCTTTCCACGCTGCAAAGACTGTTTATTTTATTCTACCTAGCACAAATAATCAACACTAAATGTGTTTTCGAAGAAAAAAAAGAAAAAGAAAAATGAACAGCATTCCAAAGACATTTCCAGAATAGTTTCCTCTCAGTTTTATAACGGCTTTAGGTTCACACCCACCCAGGAGCTGCATCCAGCTGATGAGCTATAGCAGTGGAGCAAATTGCTGCTTTTGTAACAAAACCAACTTCAATTTGAAAATAAAAAAGCAAAAAATCTTTATTTTACATTTACTCTGAGTGCACTGCTGCTCTGCTTACCGACTGATGGATAAGAAGCCAGACTGATGGTGAGTGTGTGGCAGTTTTAGAGTGTCCCTGCAGCTTGTTGGAGGACAGAGTACCACTTTACATGTTAGAGTGTTTCTATAGAAACCTGCTCAGCTGTTTCTGTAACAGGATTCAGTCCACAGACTTTAACCTCAGTCCCTCTGCCTGCTTCTGCAGCCACATGAGAACTCCTGACTGCTTTCTCACTGCTGCCATTTGTGCTGATGATCAATCTTCTTTAAAAAAAAGTCCTCAAGTAGACATAACAAATAAACTTTCTTACCTGTTTCTGGGACCTGCCCTCTTTTGTCAAGTCAAAAGTTAGAGTCTTTACTCCTCTCTGCTCTTCACACTCCTTTGCTTCCCCTCCCTCCTCTCTCTCTCTTCCTCTTTTCCCTCCCTCTTTCTCTCCTTCTTACTGGACAGGCCTGCCTTTTGGGGTTTTTTTCTCCCTAGCTTCTTCTGTTCAGAGGGTCATAGTGATCCCCCCCTTTAGCTCGGCTTCGGTCCAGAAAGACTTAAATTTAATTTCTTCTGGAAAACTGCAAGCTCGTTCATGTGACAGAAATCAGACACTATTGGTCTTAATTGTGTTTTGCCTCCCCAAAGAATGGATGAATATGTCCCACATGACACAAAGTAAACCAGATAGAGCATAGATGTGTTTGCAAATTTATCTCACTGCTAAAGTTGCAATGAATGCTGTAAACAGTGAAGCTCTGTTTAGGAAAGGCTGACTGTGGATACATCATCCACCCACTTTAGATTGTTAGCATGACAACACTCCACTGATTCAAACCTGCCTCTGATGTTTTGGCATCCTTTCAGTTTCCATTCGATTCCCAGAGCTTTTCATCCAAGAAAACAGATTACTGAAGTCAGGCAGAGGAGGCAACACAGCAATGCGCATTTGGAGGTAGCTAAAGATGATGAAAATATCATATTTTGGGATCAAATTCCAAAAATTGTCCCTTTCTGCATCTTTCCTCGCTTTCATTACTCCTCCCCACAGGGCTTCAGCCACTTGGTCTGATATACAACCCTAAGACAGGACTACTATCAGGTCCAGATTAGAAGAAATCTAAGAAAAGAAAATACACATCGACAATAAGCTCACAGGAAATGTTTTACGTAATCAATGTGTCCCTTTCTGGGTAAGCCTTCTTGTCTAATCTCCTAGAATCGAACAGGCAGGAGAAAAGCCTACTGACTTCCATGATTACAAGTTGTGACCTCATGTCTGACAAAGAAGATATATAACAATGCATCTTTTGTCAAAATAATGCATGCCACACCATGTACTATAAGTTAAAGGATGTGAATTGATTTAACTAACTGATTGCATTGCCTAACATTAGCAGATTTCTTTTGTAGGAAGAAGCAGAAATGGGAAACAACAGGAGATGGTCTTTTTTTCCCAGTGGCAAAACAGGGGTGGTTGCTTTTGGCAGCAGCTCTTACAGCCCCGTGCTCAACAGGGGCTCAAGCGAAGTACCTCAATTGTAGCTCCTACCTCCTGTTCTTTCACCTTTCATTGGGTTGTCACAGAAAAGAAAAACAAAAATAAAGCTTTCCCAAATGAAACAAGCTGCTGAAGCTCTCTGTTATAAAACCCAAAACATGTCAAGGTCTGAACATGAGCATGTGTCACACAATTCAATTCAGTTTATTTATATAGCGCCAATTCAAAACACAAGTAATCTCAAGGCACCTTGCAGAGAAAATTCTTGCAGATTCATCAATCAGATTGGTTCAAAGTTTTCTATCTAAGGAGACATGACATAAATGGGACAGATGGTCCCAGTATTCAGGCGAGCCAGACAGTAGGAAGCATCAAAACGTTTAATGACAAAATAAATACAACAGAAGCGGAAAGCAGGCTGCTGTGGATTAGCAGACCTGCAGTGATTGCAGGGGAATCACTAACACCCAATCACTTACACTCTGGAGGGAGAAACACAGGAAAGTGACCATGATCATACGAGGGGAGTTCATTATCTGTGTGAGTAACTTACCTGGCTTAACAGTTCAGTTCATCCTCTCTGAGGATATGGTTAGTCACAGTCAGAGAAACAGTACTACACTTAAAAACAGGCCAAGCTCCAACATCTCAAAACAAAGGCATTGATGGCGGCAGCACAGCTAATATTTCCCTCCATGATGGTGTCACAGCCAAACAGGAATAGACCAGATGAAGCTACTATGGTGAGAAAAAGCAGAGAGAGCAGAACATTAGAGATTGAACTAACAAATAACAAAGAATGGGGGAATAGAGAAAGAATATAGCAGAATCGTGAAAAGGGGTCCCTATGTCCTCCAACAACCAAAGACTATAGTAGCATAACTTTAGAGGTAGCTCAGGGTAATCTGTACCACTCTAACAGTAGAGGAGCCTGTGGATTGAGAAGGTTTGGTGTTTGTCTCCTCTCTTCTGAGCGTGTCCCGGCTCTTCTCCACTGAGCCCTCAGGATTTTGGCTTGGCGTGCTGGGAGAGCTTGGGTTTTGTCCCTTCTCTGCTGAGCCTTCTGGTTTTGGCTCTGAGTGCGGGGGAAGCCAGTTTCATGGTACCTTGTCTTGTCTCTGTTCCTCTCTTTCACTGTTTTTCACTGTCTCCTTCTGCGTGTGTCTGTCTGAGCTCGCTGCTAGACTCGTAGTACTGTGAACCTGCATTAACACTCTATGGAATCCTGGAACCCTGGATCTGTCTGTTCCTGTTTGGGTCGGAACCCCTGGTCCGAACAGGACTGACCCAAGGTCAGTCCTGTTCCTGACCTGAATCTGATTCTTGCCAGCTCACTGAGGTTGCTGCATCGGGGACACCCTGGGCAGCCTTGCGCCGCAGCTCGTTTGGCAGTCTATCGGCTGGATCCTGCTTTCCTTAGAGAGGATGGACTGAACTGTTAAACCAGAGTGTCATTGATTGGGTGGTGCCCCGCCTCCCCCATGCAACAACTGCAGGTCTGCTGGTCCACAGCAGCCAGTGTTCAGGCTTCTGTCTTGTTACTGTCCTTTATTTGTCATTAAACTTTTTGAAACTTAAGACTGTCTGACTCACCTTGAATATTGGGTCCATCTGTCTCATTTCTTGACACGTTGGCTGTCTGATACTTAGGTGGTACTGCATGTAGCTTTAATAATAATAGAACTTTATTGATCTCGCACTGGAGAAATTTACCTCTGCGTTTAACGCATCCCCTTGGGAAGCAGTGAGCTGCCATTGTGTGGCGCCCTGCGAGCAGAGTGGGGTTAATAGTCTTGCTCAGGAACCCAGAGTGGAGGCTGTGGGGATTGAACCAGGTACCTGCAACCTTCTCATAGCACAAGCACACTGCTCTAACCACTAGGCAAAAAGCTTGCGCCAAGTCTTTTTATGTCAACTCATCGTTCTGAGTCTACATAAAGGTCATATTAAGGCCAAAAAAGGAATATCAATACACAATAAGGATGGACACTTGGAGTATATAGCCTTATTTTAACATATTAAACAGAATTATTGTCTTTTTGGTATGGGCATAAAAGGGTAATATGTGTCTTTAAAGTTGATAAAGTCTAATGTTAATAAAGTAAGGTCCATCAGTTTTTATATTTCCTGTCTTTGTGTATTTTATCCTTTAGATTCCAAACATAAAAAATAGGCTATTAAAGATGTACAGTTGTTGGTGTTGCATCTCACCAACCATTTCAAACAAATAAAGTAACTCAATCACAAATTTTTAAACATTTACATTTAACAAAATGCAAATTTCCACCTGCTGGAGTTCATTTGGATGTGTTTCCATGCTTTTCCTCTTTTGGCACAGCTAGAGCATCCACTGCAGGCATTTCCCCAAGGTGTTGCTTGTTGTTCCTCAGCATGTAAGTAATCTCAGTTCTATTAACATTTGGTTTAACATGGTTAGAAATATTGTGTTTTTTGTGTATACAATTAGCTCTAAACCCTTTTATAAGGGTTTTGATTCTTACTAAAACGTTAAGTAGCTATCATATGAAAATTTGTTTCATTCATGTAGAGACTTACTGGCATGATCTGTGGAATGTGATTACTTTGCATGCAGCATTTAGTATTTGGAAAGACATGATCTGTCTGTGGTGTCCTTACTGAGTTCTGGATTTAACCTCTTAATTCCAGGCAAGGACGAGATCTTATCTACATGCTGAAAGCTGCTTAAACTCCAGGAGACCCTAAAGCAGCTGTACCTCACAATGCTATTACATTACATAGCTGTTTTCCAAGCAGATGGAAAAAGCAAGCCCAAAATGACTCGTCTGTTTAATCATCCAGGAACTTTCCAAGAACAATCTGTTCAGTTGTCTTCTGACTGATTAGGATTATTAAAGTCTTATTTTTAAATGAGATACATGAGACAAATGTTCCCATGGGATCAAGAAGAGGAATATTATTACTGTTGACATTCCATTTTATTTGCTGTGATAACGAAAAGAATCCAGCACCCTTTAAGAGCATTTCACACGCACACACAAACGTGGTGAAAGTAAAAAAAAAGATGTAATATTATAATATATTAATATAAAACTTTGTATTTACCATATTGATATTCAATTGCAAAATATAAAACTGCATATATGTATTATATGCAATAGGACTTCTGTTTAAGTTGTTATGAATCTGAATAAATATGTGTAACTGAAAGATCATTATAAAATGTCATTATATTAATTTAGTCATTAATTCGGACAGCAGCTGACTGAACTATGGTCTGACCCAACATGGCCATCCTATAGGTATGTAAGCCAAGTTGGTGGCAGCGTTCAGTGGGGCATCTACCTATTAATGTCTATGCGGCAAACTATCTCCACACAAAGAAAGCGTTTCAGATCACTAGGGGGAGATAATCAATCAATCAATCAATCAATCAATCAATCAATTTCTTGTCAACTACAATTTACATTGTAATCGAGATTTCAATTTCAGTACAAACTGTTCATCACAGACATCATACACATTGGGGTGGGGGTGGGGGGCTGACAGGGGGAACGATTTACTGAGGTCATGCGTTCCCCAGTACGCTACCTTTGGTGCGTTCTTATGGGCCTCTCCGTGAGGCGGTTCCCTATAGCGTTGCCATATCTGACCAGACCCTCAGTAAAGGAGTAAACAGGATGTGCAGAGAAATTAAGGCTGTTTATCAATCTATCGAGTGTTGATTGTTGTTCTTGCCAAGCACGTTCTTGACAAGAACACAGGAACTCAGACTGCTTTAAAATAGATCCACATTTACCTAATTTGAGTCACAAAGAGATAAATTCTTACACTAATGCAAAGGTTGGGCCAAATTTGCGATTAGGTCATGGGAAGGGAAGGAGCTGGATATAAACATCATCAAGATGATTACTCTGCTTAAAAGTCACTGAGTGATATTGGATATGAAAAAGGCCTTAAGGGAAAATAAAGATAT